ACAGGACGGGGAGCACCGCCGGACCGCGCGAGCCGTGGCGCCATATAGGACCGGCCGGGCGGCGCGGGGATTCCCTGTCTGAACACCGCCCCCGGCGGTGGAGTGGGTGCACACCCCAGGCGCGCCCGCCCACCCTCCGCCGTCGCTATATAACTGGCGTGCCAGCGGTGAGAGAGGTACAGACGGCCCGAGCAACGGCGCACAGCGGCTAGAGCAGCGCAGCACCACCGACCGCAACGTCGGCCAACATGATCAAGTTCGCAGTTCTGCTGGTTCTCGGGGCGCAACTCTGCTTGGCTCAACAGTACCCGAGGTACTTCAAGTTCCCCGTTGGAAAAGGTGAGTGCTGCAGCGTTCGGATGACTCCGTCAGCTGCTATTTGCATAAGGAAGTTACAAATCGGGCGCCGCTAAAGCACTCGCCATCAGTTCAAGACATCTCAGCAATTTGTCGTCTGCTTAGCAATCATGTAACTATAGCAGAATAGTATCACCAAGGTATGATCTGCTATCGACAGTTTAAAATTCTTCGCTTTGCTGTTCTGCAATGTTTCTTTGCGTGATGGTTCGCTTTTGTAATCTCAGCAATTCGTCGCCTGCTTCGTAATCATGTACAGCCACTCCACCGAGACACAGCCACGCATTAATGCCTGGCAGTTTGGGACGCAGGGCATGACAGGGCCACCGCTATCGGCCGCACGAGACTTTGGCTATAAATCACGGGACTCCACAAGAGACACGAGATTCCATACGGTCGGCCGCTGTTACGCAGCGATCTTGTGCCACGATATGTTGGTTTACATCACGTGTCGAGGTGGGGGGTGGCGTTGCGACCGGTGCCGTGGTCTGACTGTGGCACTGGTCTGCTTGCAGGTGATGAGTGCGAGGACCACCAGATCGGCAAGAGATTCCCCGTGGGTGCTGTGTGGAGCAGCCGTAACTCGGGCTGCAAGCAGAGCCACTGCATCAAGGAGAACGGTACTCTCTACATCGACCGCTTCCAGTAAGCGCCCTCAAGCACATCGGCTACGACGAGACAGTCCATCTCAATAGTGTTTGTTCAAGCTGTATAACAAGTGGAAGAAGGCTTGCAGAGCATGCCTTGTGTTTAGGTATCAGTTTACATTTCAAGCATACTCCAGAAGCGAAATCGGCCCTGGGAGTGGCCTGATGCTCTGAGCGACGAGGATTTTGGTCTTTGAGAGGCAACTGTGGGAAATAACACATAGTTTTTTCTTTCTGCAGGTGCCCCCAGGTGCGGAAGCGGGTGGACTTCCAGAAGCTGAAGGCGGACAACCTGTTCTGCAGAGAGGCCGTGGGAGACCGCAGGAAGGCATTTCCGGACTGCTGTCCCCGCCTTGTGTGTAAACACTACGTTAAGGGCAAGCTGGTCGCTCTCCCTGAGGACAAGTACCCTTTTCTCTGAGCGCAGTTGATGGCGTGCGGTAACATTGAAATAACGACTTGATTGTGATACGATGGTGATAGTTCTAGCTGCCGGAGACAGTCGCAAACCTGATACGTTATAGTTATCAGTAGTTTTTTTTCACGAAACAGTAGTTTTGTGGAATGGTACCACCAGTGCCTGTAGCGTAGCTTTGTGGCGCTTTGTTTCGTGAAGAGGTTTTGTGTTAAGTGCATATAGTTCCATCAAACCACCTGCAATTTAAGCAATGTTTCCCCAGACATCCATGACATAATGGTTTAAGCATGTTATGCAGTGTATGTGGCTGTCAGCTCCTAATTACACCTCTGTCGGAAGTGAGATTTGCTTCGAGTCAGAAAACTAGTTGCTAAGAACGAGCGCACTGTCGGCTCTGCATGCGTAATTTTACCCGCTGGAAATGACTTGAAGTGAAGAACATCTGAAAATAAAGTTTCGGTTGGAAGCCTACTGTTTGGAGCCTACTGTCAACCATGAAACACTACCAGGTATGTTTACATGCTACGATAACGAACAGCAAAATGAAGCAATATTTCCAGCAATAAAAGCTCCACACGTATAGGTAAAAACGCACACCAGCAAATTATAGCTTTCCAACAAAACTTTGTTAACATAGAAACACATCCTTCCTTGTTGCAATGGCGCCATCTCTTTTAAAAGCCGTTCTGTCAGTTTCCTCCTCGTCACGTTTCTAGATGATCTTGGCTCACCAAGAATTTACATATCAAAATCGAGACACGAGACAAAATACACGTAACAGTAAACACACTGTAACTCAAGCAAATTTCTGAATCGATGAAAAACCTCAAGCCACCATGCCGTTCACTTGTATTTACGCAACAATTGATTCGTGCAGGGACTATCGAAAATTTTATTCCGAGTTAGGCGCGCGAGAGATTTGTAAATGTACACCACTTGCTGAGCGAAAGAGCACTCCTATGGACAATATTACATTTCTGTTGCTGCTTTTGAAGGCGTAAGAAAGGACAACTTGAAATACGTTCAGTCTGCGCGCTAGTACAGCGCGGTCCTATCTTTCTCGCATGGCGCCACTCAGGCAAGCCGAAGAGCCATGTTCCTACACATCGCGCTGATTATCCAGGGAATGCTCCTTTAAAGGTGCGTTTGGCGTCATATGAGGACGGCATTCCATTGTTGTTCAGATCTTTTTGGACGCACCCCCGATGGCGTACAGACACCCAAGAATCTTCAGGATGAAAAAGGATGCTGTCAGCGTGTTGGCACGAGTCTGCTTAGTCTCTTGATTTCAAAACGTGTCAGAAGTATGTTAATTCCGTTTCGAGAGGTGTGATCTATCGAATATACTCGCATGACGGCAATGTTCTTGAGGTTTTGCCGCTTTGCGGTAGGTGTGGGCAGCATCATGTTGGCTCTTCAATTTCAGCACGTTCACAGAGCCGTAGCGTGAAGCCGTTGATGTCAAGCTGCAATTGTTGCTCATGTATCTATTGCTTTCACTTTTAAGATTGCAAATTTTCGACAGCTTTGTAAGAACTGTCTTTCCGCTTTGTTTTGTGTTGACAAGGCCAGCCATAGATCTGAAGGAGATGAGCAGTGCTTTAGGATGCCAAGTAATATTAAGAGGCCCCATTCACCCGTGGCGTCACCTAAGGTATGTCAGGTCGGGCATGACTCTATGCCAGTTGATTTCAAAACTCAACTGAAAGAGCAATTCGCGCAGAGGGCGGATATCGCAAGCACTTCTCATGAGTTCTCTTCAGCAGTGTCTGTCTCCAGGGAGTGCCGACCTCCAGCCAGGTCGTCTCCTGAAGAAGCCGCACGTCTGAAGGAGATCTCCGATGGTGGGAGAACAAGGTCTCATGTCATGCATCTACAAAGCAGCGGTTTCAAGGGAAAAGGAAGCAGATGACGCCTGCTAAAGTTCTTATCCAAGTTTGCGAATTGTTGAACCCAAAAAAGCAGGACCCTAGCAAACGTTCACTTGACGGTGTGTATCGGGATCATGCAAGTGGGTAGCAATGGTAGTGACAATATACGTCTTAGTGATTCACGGTTCATGAAAGGGCGTCGGAGCGTTTACGGGCCGCAGGCAGATATACCGGGATCGTCGGGACATTCATGGTGCCACAAATAGACGTGCTGAAATCGCCAGGACATTTACGGCGCACGAGAAGATGCCGAGATCGAGAGACCCCAATGTTCTCCTGCGCCCCTCCGTTCCCAAACATGGTGATCTGTGCAGGATAAGTAAGCTCAATCATCTACTGCCTGTTTGCAGCCAACGTACGTTACAAGATGTGGAAATGATTTCAACAGAATTTCGCCAGAGCTCAACCGTTGCTGTTGCATGATCGTAATTAAAGATCAGCACAAATCCTTCCACCCAGTAAGAGGAATATTCTTCGATTCCTGGTGTGACACAAGATGAGCAAATTGACGATCAGCAGACAGTCTTCAGCAGCCAACGGCAGTCGTGAAGGGTCCCCTCGCTGGCGCCGGGCAGGACGGGGAGCACCACCGGGGCGCCGAGTCGTGGCGCCAGAGAGTCTCACCGTGGCCAAGACCGGGCGGGCGGCGAGGAGATTCCCTGTCTGAACACGCCTCCGGCGGTGGGGTGGCCGCACACCCCACGCGCGCCCGCCCCCCTCCGCCGCCGCTATATAACCGGCGTGCCAGCGGCGAGAAGGTACAGACGGCCCAGCCCGAGCAACGGCGCACAGCGGCTAGAGCAGCACAACAGACCACAACGTCGGCCAGCATGATCAAGTTCGCAGTTCTGCTGGTTCTCGGGGCGCAGCTCTGCTTGGCTCAACAGTACAGTACCGAGGTTCGTCAAGTTCCCCGTTGGAAAAGGTGAGTGCTGCAGCGTTCGGATGACCTCGTCAGCTTCTATTTGCATACGGAAGTTACAAATCGGGCGCCGCTAAAGCACTCGCCAACAGTTCAAGACATCTCAGCAATTTGTCGTCTGCTTAGCAATCATGTAACTATAGCAGAATAGTACCACCAAGGTATGATCTGCTATCGGCAGTTTGATATTCTTCGCTTTGCTGTTCTGCAATGTTTCTTTGCGTGATGGTTCAGCTTTTGTGACGGACTCCTACCGAGATACAGTAACGCTTCAATGCCTGGCAGTTTGGGACGCAGGGCGTCGCAGTGCCATCGGTTTGCATCACGTGCCGAGGTGGGGTTGGCGAGGCGACCGGTGCCGTGGTCTGACTGTGGCACTGGTCTGCTGCAGGTGATGAGTGCGAGGACCACCAGATCGGCAAGAGATTCCCCGTGGTGCTGTGTGGACCAGCCCTAACTCGGGCTGCAAGCAGAGCCACTGCATCAAGGAGAACGGTACTCTTTACATCGACCGCTTCCAGTTAAGCACCCTCAAGCACATTGGCTACGACGAGGCAGTCCATCTCAATAGTGTTTGTTCGAGCTTGTAACAAGCGTTAGAAGGCTTGCAGAGCATGTCTGGCATATAGATATCAGTTCATGTTTAACATGATCCAAGGGTAAAATTGGCCCTGGGAATGGTTCAGTGTTCTGAAGACCGATTTTTTTGGTCTTTGAGAAGTGGATACCACTATGGGAAATAACAGATGATTTTCTTCTTTTTGCAGGTGCCCGTCGTCAGGAACGGGTGGATTACAAAAGCTGAAGGCGGACAATCTGTTCTGCAGGCTGGCCTGGGTAGACGCAGGAAGGCGTTTCCGGACTGCTGTCCCCTTGTGTGTAAACGCTACGTTAAGGGCAAGCTGGTCGCTCTCCCTGAGGACGAGTATCCTTTGCTCTGAATGCAGTCCATTGCTTGCGGAAAAACGCATGGTAACATGAAATGAAGGCTTGTTTGTGATACGAATGTGATATTTCTACCTGCCGAAGACAGTTGCAGACTTGTTAAGTTATTATCATCAATTGGTTTCCGCGAAACAGTATTTTTGTGGAATAGTAGCACTGGAGCCCGGTGGCGCTTCATTTTTGCGTCGTGTTGGAAACAGCTTCCGTTGTTTATTAACAGCGCATGCTAGCTTACGCAACCACCTGGGATTTAAGACAAGGTCTCTTACGGACATCCCTGACAGTGGTTTAAGTATGCATAGTCGAGTGTGTATGTAGCTGTCTGTTAGACGTGACTGCAATTTACTCCAGTCCGAAACTTCTTGGAACGTAGTTCTGGGACTCGAAGCAGTGAATGAGCTCACTGTCGATTCTGCTGCTGCTCACACGAGCTCACTGTCGATTCTGCATGCATAGTTCCCCAGCGTAGCAACGACATGACGTGATGAAAAACTGAAGACCTAGTGGCGGTACGAAATCCTGCTGCAAGCCTACTGTTGAACTTGAAGCAATGTTATCGTATGTTGAGACGCTACAAAATAGCAAAATAAAACATGTTTCCAGCTATGTGTTTAAACAGAAGACGCTCGTCTTATGCGTAAAGAGCTTCAGCAGCGATTGGTGACATTCAAGTCCAGCCTTGTTATTGGACCATATCCTGATCCCTGCACAGGTGCAAGGCTTTGTCATTTTTCTCCGTGGCTTAACAAGTTTGTACATTGCAAATCGAAATTCCGAGTTTTTTAATTTGTAAATAGAAATTTCATGCCATCTTAGGTGAACCGTAAAAAAATCCTTATTTGACTAGACACACTCCCCTTAAGGCCCACACTACCGGTGTGGCTGATCCAGCGTAACATTACGCCTCGGTGCGGGCGTTGAAGCACACCTACATCGAATATTCCTTGCTTGTATTCCTCAACACCTTCGCAATACAAACACTCCAAAAATGCGATAGTCCCCTAGGCAACGCTTAAAAAAGACCTTCGCTACATTGTTGTAGCTCAGACGATGCTTTCTCGAGTGCTACACCTCGGTCACTTTTACACATACTCAAAGCGTATATGAAACCTGCAAAACGGCTGTGATCCTATGTGAAATGACGCCGCTGAGCTGTTGCTGAAAACACTCATATAAGGTATGCTTGGAGGAGCACCTACCTGAGGTGTCCACACGCCAAGAGTTAGTCAAGTGCCAGTAAAGCACACACACCGCAATTTCGTTGGCGTAAGGAAAACGCGTTCTCACTAGCAAAGGTAAAAGCAGCTGTGTTATTTGCTCACAAATGCGAATAAGATCGTTTGACTGCACCTTAGGGATCACATTATAATAAGAGACGCAAAATACAATACATAT